GGGGGGGACCAATTGATTTTGGTTGGTTTTCTGAGTTGTGCAAAATTTTTGTATGCAAGTTCTATAGCTGTAGCTTTTACAAGCATTCAAGTCCTTTCATTATTCTAAGCCTTTTTCAAGAAGAAACAAACATATCCCACTAACATTCAATCCCCATCTTTGTCTTCAATTGTGCCTATGAAAAATATTTAATGTTAAAAAGTAAATTTAAAAGTGTGGTTAATTAAGTAATTCCATTTAGGGTTATTTAAGCAAATAATAAAATGGTGGTGTAACAAGTAAATTTTGTGCTGGTAATATAATTACCCTTTCATAAAAGTAGTCTCGAAAACATAAATTATAGTGAAACGTAAGATAAACTCGTTTTGAAAACAAAATATTACCTATATTCAATTAGTTCTATTAGTAGCAAAATAAATAAAACTGTCCTTTCTATTGTTTATGACAAAGATTAGATAAAGATTAACAAAGTGGACAGCTATAATTGTCAAAGAATTACTATTCACTTCCTGTCGATCAAGTTTTATTCACTTGTGTGAAATTCGTGCACCCACCAACTTTTAGCCTCGTTTTTTCTCATTCTTGACTATCACTTTTTCTACTATACTCATTCGCAACCATATATTTTTCATTAAAATAATATTACATGTAAGTAAAAAAAATAAAATTCCTTGTATTTAATCATAAATTTTCCATCAATTTACTATTCCATAATGCATCACAAAAAATTAATGGGGCTCACACATGGCCTTACTCAAACATATGTCTATCTCAAATGTAAAGGTATTTCTAGAAATACAACATATTTTGACGATTTAATAGTCGTAATTTCATTATTTTTTACTTCTGCCTAACTCGTTCAAAACAATAATTATCACTTATTGTTGTCCTGTGGCGAGATAAGTAAGACGGTGCTTTTCTCTTATTTACATCAAAAACGAGATTTTTTTCTAAATCATGGTTGGCATCTATGGATGTCTGACAATTATTATTAGGAGTGGGCGCGGTCTGACTCCAAAGGGAATCGAATCATATTGAATAGCAATGGAAATTTTAAAATGGAACCATTGGTTCCATAGTTAGCTATGGAATCCGTTCCGGTTCGATCGGGTTCGATTCTTTACATTGAAAATATCAAAATAAAATGTTCACTAATAAAAAATCTAAAGATGTTATAAACGTGATACTTTTAAAAATATATAGAAGGACCAAACATACTATTCAAAGATTAAATTTAAAAAAAAAAATTCAAATAATATAAATTACTATCATCAAGCAATCATCAACTTACATAAACTGCAAGTATTCCAATATTTAAACAAACTTTCATCAAAATCAAAATCTTACATTGAATTGGACACCCTTTAAAAATTTATTGCAACTTCTGGTTTTGTCGATTATAATTTGTAGAAATCTAGATGAGAAGTTTCGATCGGATCAACAACTATGTAATCAAAGTGAAAACAATTAAAAATTTCGCATCTTTGAAATGAAATTATATATTGTATATAAATTTATTTAGGTATAGATTTATCAAATATTCTAATTTGGCTTAAGAATCAATTAATCAAAGAATTATAAGAATAGTGAATGAAATAATCAAAGAGAAGAAGGAAAGTGTTCGAGTCTAAAATGAAGAAGGAATCTGATTATTTTTATGAAAATGATTGGAGATTGAGTAATATATTTTACCAAAAAAATAAAAAATTCTATGAGAACCGTCCGGTTCCCATACAGAAATCGAGAATAGAACCGGAACCAGTTGATTCTTAATAATTTGTCCCAAAATCAAATTGTTTTTAAAAGATCTGGAACCGAACCGACCAGTTCTAAATAGTTCCGATTTCGGGAAAAAATGCCCACTCCTAATTATTATTCACTTGCACCCAATGCGTTCACCTTAATTTCATATTGTTACAATTTTATAAAATATTGAAAGGAAAAAAAATGTAATTAGAATTTAATTTTCATAATTACATTATTTTTTATTTGTACTTAACGCATCAAGACATTTATCACTTGTTGTCATAATTTATAAGATAATAGGTTTCTCTTATTTAAGATAAAGATGAGATAAAGATTATCACAATTGACTGTTGTAGACGTTAAACAACTATTATTCACTTGTATCTAATGTGTTCATTGACAATTCCTATTTATAAAGAATTAAAAAATTAAAGTTAAAATTAAATATGTATAATTACATTATTTTCCACTTGTGCCTAACACATTAAGACAATATTTATCACTTATTGTTATTCGGTAACAAATAAGATGGTAATTTTCTCTTGCTTATAGTGAAGATGAGATAAAAATTATCACAGTTGACAACTGTAAAATGCCACATTCATCTTATTGCTAGAAAATTACTATTTTATAAAGAATTGAAGGAAATATTCAAATTAGAATTTAATAGTTGTAATTATATTATTTTTCACTTGTATCAAACGCATTAAGATATTAATTATCAGTTATTGTTATCTTGTAGCAAAATAAATAAGATTGTGCTTTTTTATTACAACAATGATGTGATAAAAATTGGGGTTAATAACACAAAATGTCCCTACGTCTACGTTTGACACTTGTTGCGGAAAACGTCCTTACATTTCATTTTTTTTTACATTTTCGCCCTTATTTCAACATTTCGTTGCGAAAAACGTCATTCCGTCCATCTGCCGTCTATTTTACATTTAAATGCACACCTTGCTCACTTTTAATTTCCAACAAACTCTGCTTCCTACAATAAAATACACACGTTAGTCTTCATACTCAGAACTCTTCACGTCTCGTGCCTGCTCATCTGATTTCAACGCTTTCACATGTCATCGACGATTTCAAAACGAAAGGTGGGCAGTTCTCTGCACGCAGTGGAGGAAACTAAGAGAAGGTACGTCGGTCGCAGTGAAATCGTTATTTTTGAAGTTACTGTTCAAAATTTCAAACATTGAATGATTGAGGCTTGGTTGCTATTTTTTATGGGCGTTCTCATTTTTTCTCGCAGGGTTTTCAATTGAAAGAAAAATGCCTCCTCCATTTATTAGAGGGCTCAACAATGCCCCACCCACATACGGTATGAACATTGGAGGGGGTTTACAACTGTTTTCCTTCCATTAATCTTAATTTCTGTGTGTAGTTCAAGTTTGGAACTTGATTAAAATCGAAAATGGGAAATAGGAAGAAAACCAGACGTTTTGGGAGAAATTTTTGGGGGTCTTAAAGTATGAATCAGAGATTATACGGTATTGGTTGGAAGCTTAAATTTTCGTGGTTTTAGTTGGGCTTTAAGCATTTATGCTGTGTAGTCCAAATTTGATCAGTGTGTATTTGTTCATTTCCATAGCATTTTTCACTCTTCATACCCTCATCTTTGTATTGTTTTGCATGCAGGTGCAAACTCAGGTTACTTCGCTATTGAATTGCTTCACGTAGGCCGCTTCTACAATAAGCCAAATAATAT